AACTCACTGAGCTTACTTAAAACAATTACTCTGAATTCTTTATTGGGAAACTTGCAGATCTGCATTTCTTTGGGTGTGGTTGTTGGAAACTTATTGTGTCCTTCGGTGGTGACATGTTTCTTTGATGTTTTTGTGTTCCTTGAAGTCTTGCGTTGCTGTCTTTGCATTTGAAACAGTAGTCGCCTCCTCTAGCATTTACTGACTGGCTTCAGGGAAGAAACACCTTCCATCAGCCTTGTTAGGAATTCTGAAGCTTTCTCAGGCTTTTCCTATGATTATGACTGCTCCACATTCCTTATTCCCCCTGCGATAGAATTCTTAAGCTTGTATACCTTCTCTTGTTCTTGCAATGCCAGGCCAGGAGCTGATGGCTTCCCTTTTGCTTTCCCTAGGGTGGTGCTGAGTGCTGAAGTTTGAGTGGTTTCTCCCATGTCTGCAGGGTTGGGCCAGCTTTCTGTGCATTCCCACTAGATGTCTGCAAAAGCTCTCCCGCCTCATCATTGGGAGTGTGCATAGGAAACTGGTCATGGGATTGGGGGTTGTGTGGGTTGGGTATGTGGAGTGTTGGGGGTGCCCATGCACCAGATTGGGGAACCTGCAGCGGCTTGTGGGCAGGTCTCCTGATGGAGTCTGTGAAGCACTTAGTAGGATTCACATATCTTTGATATGTTCTGTTCCTTTTTCTTCTTTTTTTGAGGAAGATTGGCCCTGAGCTAACATCTGTTGCCAATTTTCCTCTTTTTGCTCAGGAAGATTTTTGCTGAGCTAACATGTGTGCCAATCCTCCTCTACTCTGTATGTGGGATGCCTCCACAGTGTGGCTGGATGAGCAGCGTGTAGGTCTGCATCCAGGATCTGAACCTGCGAACCTCAGGCCACCAAAGCAGAGTGTGTGAACTTAACTACTATGCCACTAGGCTGGCCCCAATATGTTCTGTTCTGGCCCCTGGCTGCTGTCCTCCAAGCTGCTCCCTGTCCCCCAGGCCTGCAGTTCATGACTCAGTATTCTGGATGGGGTGAGGAAAGAAGGTGGTTTCTTTGATGTGTCGTGCTGTCAAAGAGAAGCTGGGCACTCACTTGTGTTTTCTCACTTTCCCCTGTGGGAGAAATTATGGGCCAAGAAGGTTTCTCTTGGTGCTGAGCTGTGCATCCTTGGGGGAGGGGTGATGAAGGGAAAGTGTAACTGTTCCTCTTACCCTCTTCAATGCTTCCAATACCACTTTTTTTTTTTTGGTGAGGAAGATTGGCCCTGAGCTAACATCTATTGCCGATCTTCCTCTTTTTGCCTGAGGAAGATGTTTCCTGAGCTAACATCTATGTCAATCTTTCTCTATTTTGTATGTGGGATGCCACCACAGTATGGCTTGATGAGTGCTGTGTAAGCCCACACCTGGGATCTGAACCTGCAAACCCCAGATCGCTGAAGCCGAGAGCACAAACTTACCCATTATGCCCCCTGGCCAGCCCCCAGTCTCACATTTTTTGGCTCCAGTGATGTGCTGGAACTTCTCTGTTGGACTCCTGAACTTCCGCAAAGGCTCTCTTGTCCATGGGTGATTGTCTAAATCAGTCTTATTTGGGATAAAGGCAATAGAAAACTCTTATTCTACCATGATGATGACGTCACTGTTTTAAATCTTAATTTAAATGCAACCTCTAGCTCTCTGTATATTAAAGAATGAGGAGCATTATATTACTAGTTAACAAAACCATTTTTAGTCCAATTAAAAGTGACGTGGAGCCTTGATTCTAAACTCCAATTTAGTTTTTGTTCCCCTTAATAGTGAGTAATGTGAAATTACATGAAATGAAAGAGTCTTGGATTTATTGGAATCAGATTTAGTTTTGCAAAATTGCATAGGGACTAAGGATATTCCTTTTGAGATCCAAAATTATTAAAATATCTTTGATGGATGGAAGTAGCCCCAACTCAGGTCAGCTGTAAGAAGGCACCAGCTCCTAAGGAAACACTCATAATGTAAAGGCTCTTCTGGTCAAATGACCTGGGATCTCTACTATGTCCTTGGGGGTTAAGGAGGAAGAATGGTTTCAGGTATGCTATGAGGCCAAGAATGTAAAGCTTTTTTATTACTAATCCAATTTACTGTGCGCACGCCCTGAGAAAACTGGCTGTGCATATTTGCAGTGAAGGATTATAACAGGGAAGGAATGGCCTCCTTCTGCAACTTGAGGAAACCTGCTGCCTGGGCAGAGTCCAAACCAGCAGCAAGTGGTAACAAGGAGGCAAGAATCTTAGCCCCAGCAGCAACTCTTCAGCTTTCCAGGTTTTGTCAAATGAAGACTCTGGAACAACTGGCATTAGCAGGAAGCAATGGCAGAGTATTTTCTGACTACCACCATTTTGACTGTCTCTAATTTTTTCAGTGATAGCAACAGCATCTGGCAGCTGCTGTAGAGGTCCAGTGCTTCTTAGGCTATAGTGTGTATGGGAATCATCTGAACATCTTGTGAAAATGTAGGCACTGATTAGTTGGATATGGGGTGAATGCTGAGAGTCCACATTTCTAACAAATTACCCAGTGATGTTAATGCTGAGGGTCCAAGGACACACTGTGTAGCAGAGTGTGGTAGAAGACTTATGGCCCCCAAGAAGATCCTATGCCCTAATCCCTGGAACTGTGACTATGTTACTTTACAAGGCAAAAGGGACCTTGCTGATATAATTAAATTTACTAATCCATTGACCTTAAAATAGGGAGATTACCCTGGATTATCTGAGTAGGGTCCAATATAATTATATGAGCCCTTAAAAGCAGAGAACAGATTTGATGAGCAGGTCAGAGAGATTCCATGCATGAGAAAGACTTGGCATAACACTTCAGGCTTGAAGATGGAAGGGCCATGTGGAAAGTATGAGAAGGGACTGAATTCTGCCAACATCCTGAATGTGCTTGACAGTGGATTCTTTCCCAGAGCATCTATTAAGGAATGCAGCCCTGTCAATGCCTTGATTTTGGTCTTGTGAGACACTAAGTGGAGAACCCAGTTGAACTAATAATTCTGTGCCCAGAATTATAACTCACAGACACTACAAAGTAAGAAATGGGTATTGTTTTAACTGCTAAATTTGAGAAAAGTCGTTATGTATGGCAACAATAGAATACGAATACACAGGTAATATAGAGCATCTAGCATTGGGGGAGAGCACCACACAGCCCAGCAGTAATGGGGCGAGTCTGAGTCCAGATCCGGGGAAGATGTGAGAACAATCACTATGGGCCTTTGCATTGACCAGACCCCTAGGGCTTTCAGAAGCAATAAGGAAGGCAGGGCCCTGGGAGACCAAAGATGCTCTCACAATACAGGGGGAGGGCCTTGGAGTCATATTAAAATATAATATTTAAAGAGATAGGAGGTTTTCCAGGCTGGCAAAATGGGACTTATAGTTCACAAGCAATATATATATATACGTAGGTTACAAATAAGATCTATGTATTAAGAGGCGATTATCTGTGGGTCTCTTGGATTTCTGTTCTCTTACAAGCAAAAGCACTGACCCCTTTTCCTGCAGAGAATCCTTTCAAGGATGTTTGTATAATGAGCAGCTGTGGAAGGTGAGACAGCGATGTCTCCCTCTGGAGTGGGGGCAGGTTTATTTAGTGTCTGGTATAATAAAGGCAATATTTCCCTCTGGGGCAGAGGTAGGTAGGTTTGCTCGCTGCCTATTATGAAAGATTAGGTTTCCTTCAGCTTGGTGTTCTTTGGCTGTGATGAAAACCCACTGTGTGCACAGCACCTACCTGGGCTGCTTGACATTATCCCCAGGGGACTCGGGGACAAGGGGAACCAATGTAAATGTGAAGCTTGTGCTTGCTGTGCTGTGAGCAATAATGTCCTTTGTCTCTGACCTGGGAGTCCCCTGTCTTCTGTCCATGGCCATGAAGATGTGGCAGGCTGGTTTGTCAGTTTGCAAGTAAGTTAAAACCTCAGACCTTCACAGTTCTTAACTATATGTGAGTAAATCTGTGTGTGTATGTGTGTGTGTGCATGTAGGTTCCAAATTTCACACGTTTTTATTGTCAACACTTAAGTAACTTGAAGAGTTACCTACTGTGAAGTGGTCTGAAGTTTCTCGATACCGTGAGCTCAGTGGTTTTGGCTCTAGTGCTCTCTTTTTAAGCCAGGCAGTTTATATCGAATCCCCTGCCATCAAAGAAATAGTACGTTCACTCAGCAAGAATTCCAGAAGTTTTACTGGAATAAGCAGCTGTGCTTAACTTTCTTGATGTTTATTTTACTACCATGGTTAGCACTGTTAAGTAACATGTATCTTTCCCTGATATTATTTTACGTTATGTGGAATTTTTGGATTTCTTACATCCTTCTGATTAGAGTTCTTTTTTTTGTTGTTGTTGTTGGAAATATCTTTGCTTCATTTAAATAATAGTGCTAGTAATGATGATGAGCTAGGTTCTTGATGAAAAAGTTTTTTTAAATGATGTATTCTAAATTCTGGGACTTGAGATGAGCCTTTGGTAAACACTGTAAGAGGTAATTATTATTCTTAACAACTTTTAGGAAGATTTAATTTTGTAGGTGGGTCTCAGTGTAATAGAACCTCACTGGAAAAACTATCAACATTTATCAGATATTTCTTGCTCTTTCTAGGCAGACTGGGAAATCCTGTGAACTACAACAGCGCTGTTTTCATCTTTTTGACCTGTGGGGGAGGAACATAAGAGGGAGTAACCTGAATAACCCTCAATGAGTTTCATTTTCCAAAAACGTGTTACTCAGGTGTCTGAGAAGTTTCAGGTCGTCAAAGTATAGCTTGTTTGGTATCAAATATCATTTGATATTCTTCTGTATCAAGTATGTCTTTTTCTTGACTACACCTATTGAATATTCATTGTGTCTATCAAGGCAGATTAAATATTTGCATGCAGAACTGTTCCAGTTTTATAAAAAGACTATAAAGGACTATACGCGTATTGTTTTTTGTTTTTAACCACCACTATTTCTCCATCTGCTTTTCGTAGGTTTCTGCCAAGCGGAAGAACATGAAAAATAATCTGGGCCCAATGCAACCACTTTTTTTGAAATTCTGTGTTTGTTTATAGAGGAAAAGCAATAACAGGTAATTGTATAATACGGCATTGTTCCTGTTTACTGAGCTGAAGATGACTGCCTGCAGATCTGGTTGAAATTAGAGCAAGAGGGTGATGAGATGATGGAGGAAAATACAAGAGAATTCTCCTCGTTGGATAGGCTGGGCTGACCTGATTAGTCAGTTTTTTTATTATAAACTTTCACAGTGAAAAACTTAGTTAATTATTTTACTAAGTATTCCTTTACTAAGTACTTTTTGAGCACCTTCAATATACAAAGCCCTTTTAGCTAAGTGATGCAGTTCCGTTCTTTTAAAAATACAGCAACTCTTGCCAAGCCCTCTCTCTATTCAACAAAGACAAAACCCCCAAGCTTCCTTTGCTGCAGCGGTACAGACTTGTTTTCAATATTTTGAATGCAGCCCTTGACTAAGATAAGTTTTCTTTTCTGACAGATCACTGTCAAAATGCAATTGGTTTGGGCTCTTACATATCTTCCTGGAGAACGATTCGTTCACTATTCCCGGGTGAGTAAAGATCAATTTAGGAGATTAATAAAAGGTCACTGAAATGACCTGAAACGGGACAAAGCAGCCCGAAGGCGCGGGCGGTTCTTGTTTCTGTGGTGCGGTAGACCCGTCTGCTGCGTCTTCAAACTTCTCGCCCCTTGGGTTCTTGCCGGGTTAGCAAGGTGGATATGTTTTCAGCTGGTAATGCGACACCACTGTAATATTATGAATCCCCCTTTGTCTCTTTCTTTGTTGTGAAGTTTATGCTTGATTTGCTTTTTCAAAACTAATTCTGAATGTTGGAAGTATCAATTTGACACACGTCACTGAACAGCAGTAATATGGCTGTTGGTTTGACACCCACAGGAATCTGACAGGGGTGCTTTTATTCTGAGAATTATGAAGATTACGTAATATTCCTAGAAATGATGAGATTTAGAAAATCATGAAAATGAGGCTTATCCAATCTGAGGCATGCAGTTCTGTGTCTTTGTTGGTCTCTAGTGTCGCTTACCAGCCCAACTCGATAGAAGCTGGGGTGGCTTATTTGTATTGTCATTTCCACACATAATGTGACGTGTAAATACCAGTAAAAGGAGCATTTTTTTTTCATATGGGGGAGAATGTTCTCTTTTTATGATGGTTTGTAGACGGATAGTAGATTAAAATTCCCAAGACTTCTGTTTTTGTTTTTCTTTTTAAAATAATGTAACGAGATGAGAGTTGATCATGTTATTTACCCCCTTGAAGGGAGAGTAATATCTCCTTACCGAGAGTCACCCCATGAATAGTTTTTCACATACACCTCCCCACCCCCAGGATATTTTCTGTATTTTCTTAGTTTGAGGCGAATATCTTTGGTCACTTCTTTGATTAAAGTGGGAAATATCCTGGACAGCCTTCAAAATGCTGTGCGAAGTGCTGTTGAGGAGCTCAACTCGGCTCCTAGTTCACGTGTCTCCTCTTCCTGTGATGCATCCAAGACGTAACCATCCTGGATGGTGCCCTCAGCCCAAGGGAGGGCTCTGGGCCTCCGCCTCCTGTCTGACAGCCCACGTTGAATTTCTCCTTCCTTGCCCTCCTGGTAACGCTCACCTGCCTTGAAAGGAGCTCTTCACTGGCTCTTCCTCTTTCTCTCCTTCTTTCATGTCTGTGTGTTGATTTTCTGTCTGCCGTGTCAATTCTGTGGGAGTAGGAACCATGTTTTGTAAGTCCCCTGTAACCCTGTGATGCTGGGAACAGAGTAGAGACTCAGGAAATTATCTTTATTGATTGTGAGTGACATGCCAAGGACCAGCTGATCCTGGACCTCAGTATGAACGATGAAATTAGCTTCCTAATGCCTTTGGCTTCTGGCTTAGCTCAGCTGCTACAACAAAGATACTATAGACTGACAACGAAAATGCTATGGACGGCGTGGCTGATGAACAACACACATTTATTGCTCACGCTGTGGAGGCTGAGAAGTCCGAGATCAAGGTGCTGGCAGATTTGCTGTCTGGGGAGGGCCTGCTTCCTGGTCCATAGATTCATATTTTCGCTGTGTCCTCATATGGCGGAAAGGGTGAGGAGCTCTCTGGAGTCTCTTCTATAAGGGCAGTAATCCCATTCACGAGGCTCCACCCTCCTGACCTAATCACCTCCCAAGGCCCACCTCCTAAGACCATCACAGTGGAGATTAGGTGTCAACAATGAATTTTAAGGGGACATCAACATTCAGTCTATGTGGCCTCCTTTCTGGGAAGGCCCGGTGCCTGCATGCAGAAGGAGGGTAAAATATTAACTGGATAAATGAATGAGTCTTTTTGTGTTTGTTTATTGAATTAAGTGAAACAGTTTCTTAAAGAAAACCATAGAAATGGCCTCAAACCTGCCTGAAATGGGGTGAGCCTTGCAGATGGGCATGCCGCGTGTGGTGGCAGCCAGTTGTGTAGGGCCCCGGAAACTAGAAAAAAGGAACCGAAGTTTCTGCTTGAAGGACAAGATGACTTGCTTGAGCCCCTGCTGCCTGGGAAACGGAAGCTCTGATGGAGATTCGCTTCCAGTCCCACAGCTGACGCCTGACCATGGTTTTTTTCATTAGGTTTTAAGAGTCTGACAAACTTTGAGTGAGAACAAACCTTTGTACATATTGTGGGGAAAGTCACAGGGGATAAAAACTAAACAAATGAATCTAAGACTGCTGGCCCAGGAGCAGTTTCTGCTCCGGGCAGAGCTGCTCTGCTGGGCTGTTTGTAGCGAGGGGATGCTCTCTCTGAAACACGGACTCAGGGAGCGCCTCTCCTTGGGCCTTCACAGCATGTTCCTCCCTGGTGAGCATTGCTGCCTGCTTGGAGCACATTTACCTGCAAGATTGTCTTACTACCAAAGTCTGTTAGTATTAGAGGCCTTTCGGACCCCAGATGTGTGCAGGCGAGAGCTGTGTCAGTGGTGGTCCCTTATGTAGATGTTCTTTGAAGCACGTGTCTGTGTCAAGGTTTCTCAGTATTCCTCTATTTGGGTGGCATTTTGGTGGACATCACATCACCACTGACTTCAGTAGGGATGGAATTTTTTTAGGAAACTTCAGAGTGTTTTGCTTGTGAAAAATATATTTAAGAGAACACAGCTGAGGTCCTGTGGCCGAGAGACCAGGTACAAGGCCTCTGGTTTTGCCTTGGCATGAAAGAGCGTTGTTACATGCTCTGTTGGCAGAACTTGAACTGATTGGAAACAAATGGTGTTTTTCTTTCGTGGAAGGAAGCACCTGGGAAAACTCAGATGCTTTCCAACTTGGAAAGAATCCGATGCCCTAAAAAATTCCCAAGAGCTAGCAGCTATTTGATCTATTGTTAATTATGCTGAGAGATTTGGAGAAAGATAATGTAGGGTAATGACATAAACATGATGCCCTAAAATAAAATTAAGTCTCTGACTCTGTGAAAGGATACGTTTTTCCTTTTTGCATCTGTATTTTAATCTTGTAATGAATTCATATCTCTGTATTAATCCTTTGCTTTTTTTCTTACTTGGATGAAAAAAATCTTTCCTCCTTTTCACGGATAGTTCTTCCATTTTTGTCAATGATCTCATTTATTTTTGGACTACTTTCAGGCTAGTAAAATAAATTTCTCTCCCTTTTTCTCATTTACATGTTTAATCCCTCTTTCTCCAGTGGCTCCTTTCCCATTTATCTACCATAAATTAAAGTTTTCTCGCCATCCTAGAATCCCCTTATTTTAACCTTGCTTTCCTCTTGATCTACTGTTCTATTTTTATTCTTACCATCCGTTGTATTCAATTTGCCTTTATGAGATGGGCACTGTGTTGGGTACTGGGGATGCAGAGATGAATTAGCACAGGGTGTCTGTTTGCAAGAAGCTGGTGGTTTAGTGGAAGGTGCAGACAAAGCAGCCGATGCCATAGATTTTGATCAATACAGAGCCAAATTAGGTGTAGGAGACTGGAAGGACACAGCATGGGGACGTGTGACTCCATCTCAACAAAGCAGGCGCTGCTTTACTGGCTCATGAAGGAGAGGTAGAGAAGGTAGAAAGAATTGCATGGACAAAGGCATAGAAACATGAAAACATGATTATTTGGTTTGGCAGAAGAGTAGGAACACTGGTGTGCTCATAGACAGTGATTACATTAACCGAGGTAGAAAATGAGGAAGGAGGCACCAGCAGGTTTGTTTGACCAAAGATTTGACATTAGTTTTGGCTGTGTTGAGTTTGAGTGGAGAGGCATGGTACCGGTAGTAGGTAGGGCCCAGTTTGCGGATGGCCCTGTATGCCATACGAAGGAGTATTAGTTTCCTATCACTTTTGTAACAAATTACCACGGACTTGGTGGCTGAAAACAACACGAATTTATTATCCTACAGTTCTGGAGGACAGATGTCCAAAATGGGCCTTATGGGGCTAAAATTAAGGTGTCAGCAGAATTGTGTTCCTTGTTGAGGCTCCAGGGTGGAATCTGTTCCTTAGTTTCTTCAGCTTCTAGAGGCTGCCTGAATTCCTTGGCTCATAGCTGCGTTACTAGTTCTGAGGTTAGGACAGGGACATTTTAGGAGGGCTGTTCTATGCTTACTACAAAAGGTGTTTGAACTCACTTTGAAGGCAAGGAGAAGCTATCAACACATATTTAGTCAAAGAATGTGGTGATGCTTTAGAGATTTATGCTTCAGAAAGATCACTTTGTTGGAAATGTAGATATTTGAGGCAGGGTGAAAAATCTGAAGTATATTGCATTTGTCCCTGCCAAGAACTGTAAGATCCTGAAACATGGCAGTGGCAATATGGTTGGAAGAGGAGAGGGTAGGCTTGGCTAGAAAATGGATGTGGGGACTAATTGAGGTGTTTAGAATGAGTCACCTGGATGACTCTGAAGCTTCATACTTAGGGAGCCTAGGTAAATGGCAATTCTGTTACCCAAGAGAGACAATAAGGGAAGAGGTGCCGGTAGATTTGGAGTGACAAAGATTTGACTTCGGTTTTGGTTGTGTTGAGTTTGAGCTGAGAGGCATGATTCCCAGATGAAGAAGATCTGGAGGCCAGAAGATGACTGCATTTGGAATCATCAGACAACAGTTACATGGGAGAGATGGCCTAAGGGTAGTGTATAAAGTGAGAAGACTTGAGGCTACTCCCATGAATGATTTCAAAGTCCATGCTGATGGCTAGTCTCACAGAGTCCTGGATATATTTTTACAAGTGCTACTGGACATACACTCATGCGTGTCCTGTATTTTGTTCACACTCATCATGAATAAGAGTGGTGGTTCCTTGAGGACGGTGATAAACTTCTATTTATCTTTCAATCTCCTCTTGTGTCATCCCATTGATTGAATGAATACCTCTCCACTCCCAGGCATAAATCTAGTTTGGAGTTAGACTGTACTTCTTTGTGTTAAAATATAAATCCTGAATCATTAAAATCAATTGTTTGTCTTTGGTTTGTTGACGTCTTTACAAATACAACTTACAAGGAGAAATATTTGTTGTTTCTCCCATTTGAGAATTGTCTTTCAAAGTCACAATAATCATCTATGTTAGAATTAGGTTATACACAGATACTTCCTGGGAAGTATTTGAAATATGTGCAATGTTGATGCTGAACACTTAAAGAAAAAGTTGCTTTTCTTTACCTTCAATTAATGGATAGGGGTTTTATCACATAGCTTGATGCTCATTCTACACAACTTTATGATCTTGATAGGGTCAGAAAGAGGCTAGGAGAGGCAATCTGGGAGTTCCCCAAGGATTGCCAACTCTCCCTGAGTTTCTTTTCTCAGTTAGTGACCTCACTCCTGTGACTTTTTTTTGACCTTTAGAGCTTCAGGGTGATCTTTGGCCTCACTTTCCTTTCCTTTGTTCAACTGGCCACCGAGATTTGTCAGTTCTCCTTGTGAAATGACTCATCATTTTCTACCTTTTATTTCTCCTGAACTCATGAAATAACCTTTTAATAAGTCTCCCTGCATCCAGCTTGTCTCCAGCTCTGGCATGTTTTGAACGTTGCCACTCAGCAAGCTTTCAGAAACAGCTGATCGTGTCCTGCGTAAGGCCTTCAGTGGCTCAGCACCGCCGGTGAAAGAAAGGCCCAGGCTGCCCACCTCCACACACTTCCCACTGGGAACCTCCCGTCTGAGCTTGGATTTTTCTCCTACTGTTCTGACTGGGAAGCCTGCCTGCCTCCACACTGGCTTGGTGAGCACTGACTGACTTTCTAAGGTACAGCTCAAAGCAAAGGGAGTCTGCTCGGGCGACTTTTGTCCCTTCCATGGCTACCACAAGAGTTCTCACTACACCGCATTTCTACTTTCCTTCTTCAGGCGTCCATATCCCCACTCTGCACCCCTCCTCCTTGCTCTCACCTCTGTATCTGTAGCACATAATTGGTACTTAATGATAATTGAGTGGACTGAGTGGTTTGGTGTAAAATCTAATTAGAGTCTAGTTTCAGCCCCTCCACTGACTGACTATGGGTCTCTGTGCCTGTTTTCTTTCTCTACAAAAAGGGAAGAACTTTGGGTACAAGTATATCAGATCAAATCATGATCTCCTGAGACCTCTATTGTGAGTATTCCTAACCGACATCACGAGGTTTTAAGATGAAGAAGGTGGAGGTAACCTGAGTTTCGGAAGCAGGCATTTTCATTGTTCCTTCCCGGCATGCTTGGGAAAGCAACTCCACAGGACCCTGTATTTGAACTTGATCCAGTTTTATGGGTTCCCCAGGGGACTTACTCATGTCTCTCAGGTGTCACAGAGCCGTTGAGCGGGGTTAAAGAGCAGGTGGGGCTGCAAGGAATGCTTGTTAGTGAAACCCGGCTTCTGAAATGTCCGGGAACAGGAAGACCTGCCCTGTCCCAGACTTTGAGAGGCCTGGTTATCCAGATTTTTTTTTTAACCTTTGATTCTCAAATCCCGTCTAGTTCCTAAAGGCTCTGGACTTCTGATTGGGTTGTGAGAATATACTCAGGGGGCTGCAGAACAGTCTTGTTTTTATCTTTCCAGGATTTGAGGAACCATGCTTACCTTTAATGAAAAGGCCAGGAGATAGAGCCCACCTCATGGAAAGGTACAGTTAGAAGTGGTGTATTAGCTTGCTTGGGCTGTCATGACAAAATACTACAAACCAACTGGCTTCAAGGACACAAATTTATCATCTCACAATTCTGGAGGCTAGAAGTCTGAGACTGAGGTGTTAGGAGAATGGTTCCTTTGAGGCTGTGAGGGGAAATCTGGTCCATGCCTCTCTCCTAGATTCTGGTGGTTTGCTGGCAGTCTTTGGAGTTCCTTGGCTTGTAGATGCATTATCTGGATCTCTGCCTTCATCTTTACACGTGTTCTCCTTGTGTGCGTATCTGTCTCCAGCTCCAAATTTCCCTTTTATAACGACACCAGTCATGCTGGGTTAGGGCCTGCCATAATGACCTCGTTGTAATAGACTACCTCTGGAAAGATCCTATTTGCAATCAGTCACATTTTGAGGTACTGGTGGTTAGGATTTTGACATACTGTTTTTGGGGACCCAATTCAACCTGTAACGAATGGTATGTGCTGGTATGTGTGCTTGCTGCGGCCCTGGAGTCAGGTCTGGAGGCCCCTGGATGAGCTTGTGTCAGGCTTGGGCCTTTGGGGCTGAGTGGTGAGGATATTTAGAAGCCCTTAGCGAGGGGGCTGAGGGGAGGCTGGGGACATGTGTGAGGCAGAGGCTACTTACCAATTGGTAGGGAAGCATTTTAATATTTTAATATCTTTTTCAGCTAATTATCATGGCTGGGTTGAGAGATTAACTTTCTCTGCAGTGTATTTTTGAGGTGCTAGGAGGGCCATTACCTCTTAAAATTCCCATTTGTTGGTTGAGACCTGAATTTATACTTTCAATAACTCATCATGCTAATTTAAAATATTTGAGCACTTCTAGAATGTGAATTCCTCACTTATTATTTTAATTTGAGGCCCCAACTATTAAGTCTTTGCTCATCTGTTTGAACGTCCCGTTCTTGTTTTCGTACCTAGGTTTGTGATTACGTTGTAAAAACCAAAATGGCTGCCTTACGGCGTGGTCATTCTGTGCCGGGCGCTCTTCATCCTCATGACAGCTCTGTGAGGACGGTGTTTCACTGTCTCCTGAAAGACGAGAAGGCGGAGCCCACAGAATGGTTAAGCAACTGTCCAAGGGCACAACTAAGACGACTTCCAGAGTCTGTGCTGCTATCCAGTGTACCGTTGTGCCTCTATGTGAATAGCATGTGTGTTAATAGTAAACAAAAGAGACTATTTTGTTGTTCTTGAGTTGGCCTGGTGATATATTTTAAAATGATTTTGGCATAATTGCTTTCAAATTCATTTGTTAGTAATGAGGAACACAATGGAAAATACACAGAAATAAAGAAAAAATTCCCCTCTCTTCCTTTCTCCAGCAGAGCTGGTAGTGCTTGCCTTCAGGAGGGGGCAAGTTGATTAGGGGCAGGTGTGATGTGATCTGAGGGACTCCCCACTGGCCTCAGCTTTTGATAATGTCTGAGAATTTAACACTGGAGATTCCTTGTATTAATGGAAGCTCTCAGGTAAAAAGTTGTTGGTTGATTTATCTGTCCTGGGATATTCAAATTTGAGTGTCCACTCCGTGTTGTGAGCATTTTAATTGAATCTGAGATGACTCTCACAGGATGGCCAGCTGTGATAAGGTGCTCAAGGATAGGGGCCACGCTTCATTGGTGGTATAGAACTTGGCCGATGGTGGCCAAGGAATCCAGGAATATAATCAACCTATTAAGTAAGTAATTAGTTGATGCTACAGATATTTATTGACCACCTCCTCTGGGCCAGACACTGTGCTCTGTGCTGGGATGGAGCCAGCCACTCTCTGGGGACAGAGATGTGCTGAAAGAAGTGACGGGCCTCTGAAAGTCAGCCCACTCCCTCGGGAGCCTTGCCTCAGGCCAGCTTGGTCTTCTCGAATATAATGTTGGTCACCAGCAGATAAAAGTTCAAGACAAGATTTTTCCAGAGAGAGATGATGGGTGGTGATCTATGGAGTCTTGTTGCTTTGCTCCACTTCTTTGTCTCACCCTCAGATCTGCCACAGCCTGTGAGACCCTGCACCAGAAGTGGAAGAGGCAAGGGAAGATGAGAACTCCCACCAACATCGAAGGGTCTGGAAAAGACCCGAGTCATCAGTTATTAGGTTGCAACTTCGGCTAAAATAAAGTTTTGAAATTATCTGTGATTAGAGTTTTCTGTGTTCTCATTCATTATGTTTTCTATTAATAGACTGTGACACATAGTAGGCACTAATTAAGTGCTAACTGATTTACAATTGAGTTAAATATCATTTCTCCTGTATGGGCAGATAATAATTGCCTTTGTTTTCAAGGATACCTGAGTTTTTCAATTCCACAGATTATAGAACTTGAAGATCTACAACAATCAGAGAAGTTAAAAAACACATATGTGAATGGAAAAGTCACATTGCTTATTTTAACACTCATGGAACGGGTGGGGTAAACACAGGGCTACCGTGGGTAACAACTTACTGATCTAAGGCTCTCGTGCAAGTCCCTTCAAGAAGGCTGCCTGACTTTCTCAATTTCAGTGTGAGAATGCAGTAGTATTGAACTGAGGTTCTTTCCTGCTAGTACCTTAATGAATTACCTGCTCGAAGTTTCTAACCATAGTTAACTGTCCCAATTTTCTCATTTAAAATTTTTCAGCTAAGAGGGCTATGGATACACACTCTGGTTGAAAACCTGGAAACGGAGTGGATGTCAGAACCTGGATGATGAATCTGGCTTCTTTTGCACTGCTGAGTTGATGAATGGGAACTGCTGATAAATCCATACAAATGAGAACTCTCTGGAAGGTGGGGCAGTGATGAAAGACAGCCTTTTTTTTCTTGCCTTGCGGTCCCAAATTGTCCTGTTTTCCTACACTCTTGGCTCTGCCTGGCATACACATATCCCTTTCTGTGCTGTTGCTAGTCAATCTCTTTTGTGGAGCGCTGGCTTCTAAAAGGATATTCCAGGCGGGAATTTTGGTGTTACGCAGTTGTAACTCAGAGCTAGCCTTAATATTTTTGGTTCACTTGCTGGTTAGCTTTATATGATGCTTTGAAAAATAGTCCTTCAAACGTACATTTTTCTTTTTTTTTTTTTAATAATTCTTCTCCCCAAAGCCCCCTAGTACATAGTTGTAGATTCTAGTTGTGAGTGCCTCTGGTTGTGCTATGTGGGACGCCAGGCTAGCATGGCCTGATGAGTGGTGCCATGTCTGTGCCCAGGATCGGAACTGGCGAAACCCTGGGCCAAACTTAACTAGTCAGCCATGGGCTGGCCCCCAGACATTAACAAGTAGATAGCCATACCAATACAAAGAAAAACCTATATCTCTTGTGCTGACTGTAGAATAGTTATTACTCTGTCTAGGAGTTAACTCCATCAATAATGTTCGTTAATAGATTTTTAAAACTATATTATTGGGTTTTACTTTTACCAGGAATCTCTAGTTTCCTTGCTTTATGAATATTTGAAGTGCAATTGTAGAGATTGCTTTGTTTTTCTTCCTTCGGAGAGCTGGTTTTCCCTCCCTTGACTCTCCTGTTTCTTGGTATTTTACAGTGTGAAGCTGCCTCTTATGTTATCTTATTATCAACCCTAAGCTCATTAGCAATTCATATTCCAGCTGTGTGAATTGGTAACTTTAATTAGCTATTACTATTTTACAGAAAAGATAGATTCATTTATGAGTGTTATTTCCTGGAACAAACTACTTAAGGAATGCATTTAAAATGCATTTAAAAATGAAATAATTTCATTTGAACTGTGTGTTAGGCTCCGAATTTATTCTTCATTGTATTTCCATTTTATTTTAGGTTTGAAAGCTTATTTGTAAGATGTTATTTTTATACGTTAGCATATTTTGTGCTTTAAATGCTTACGGGTTTTGGGGAATGCTTTTGTATCGCTTTTTCCCAACATCCCATTTCCATCGCCACATCAAATCTCAAGTGGCTAGTTTTATATTCTTTTACAGACTGTAAAATTGTGAGCCATATAAAGAGCTGCTTATATTTTTGATCTGCTATTCATAAGCTTTTGTGCTTAGTGTAAACACAATTAAATATCTTTTAAAGACTTGATTACTTTCAGCCATTATATTTTGACATTAGTCGATTCTAAGGATGTTGGACCTTCAAGTGGGCAGAACTTGGCCCCAAGACCAGGACAGCCCATGCTTCTCTAAGAGCTGGGTTAGGATTGCTCTGAGAGGGCTCTGCAACATTGATCTGATCAGACGGTATGGCTGTCCAATTATCCTAAAATCTGTTACAAAAGTTTTAAAATTAACTTACTTAGAATTCAATTTGAATGCTTCAGAATTCATAGGAAATGGGAGAGCAAGGATGTTGGAAAATCTAATACCACAATTTTCCAAATCTTTGGGCTTTGAGTCATTGGGCCTGACCAATATTCCTCTGAGCTAGTCTTTTTAAAGGGATGGTGAGATGATTTTATGAGGCAAAAGTTCTGCAATTAAGTATAGTACAAAAGGAAACCTTTAGAACTGGAGAAATTTAGGAAACTGTATATGTTTGAGTTTAATTTACTTGGGTGACTTAATCACTTATTTCATCTGCATATGTGTCTCTAGATGAACTTGAGAAAACCCAAGAACCCATTCAACAGATATTTTATTTACTTCTAGAATGACAGTATATAAATCAGTCTAGGAAAATATCCCACTGAGAAAAATTCTTAGCTATTTGGGGATTTACATATATTTACTTTTTTGTGAACTCTTATGTCAGACTCAAGACATCTTGGAGAGATTGTCCAAACTCCTTTTTATTCCTGTTTATGGCTACTTTATCAAATAGTCTGTCTTCTAGACTAATTTCACAATATGCAGAATTCTGTACATTGTCAGTTCTGAGCTCCTTTTGCTGCTATTTCAGTTGTTCACAAAAAAACTTTCTGTATTAGGCCAGTAGTTTTATTGATTGATTGATTGTCTAATTTTAATTAGATGATCAGTTAGGTGTGACTATGTGTGTCTGGCTGACCACCATGTCACTGTATGTGGTTTAAATAATTACAGAAAGGCCTGTGCTAACTGGCAATTTACTAAGTACTCGTGAGCTCATTGACTAAACCGGCAGAGTGGTTCATTTATTTAACTTCATTTCTGCCTCTTCTGTAAACAGCCTTCAAGTCTTCAGGGAACAAGGTTTGGTTTTTGGTCACTTGCTAATTGCCATTTGAATTGAAATTTCACAAATTATAAACAGAGGATTAGGTGTCAAGGTATAAAACTAATTTTTTTCTCCATGAAAAAATTAATTTATTTCTGTGTAAAGGTATCGTTACCTTTCCCATGATTTTGGCTTCTTGGGGTACACGAGCCTGGAAGGAGGTCTGTCTCCTCATCGTGCTGTAACACCCCCTGCTCAAAACCCTTGGCCATATTACATTTTACCTTCCTTTTGCTGCTCTGCCTTGTTAAGCTTTCTGTGAAATGATTTCAAGAGCTGATTGCCTTTCAGAGTGTGTTTTAAATGGAAATGCGGGTCCTCATGGGAATTCGTGTTGTCTTGGAGGCACTTTAGAAGAGGAGAGAGGAAGCAGAGATGTAAATGAGGAGAAAGCAGGTCAAAGGCTCTCACATTTTGGTGTGCTTGGGGAAAGCCATGTTAATTGACCAAGGTTTACTTCACGGCAACTGTCACACTGTAGCTTTTACATTTTCACAGATTATTTTAGTCAAAACTCTTTTGGTTGTAAGTGATGGAACACCCAACCCCATCTGTCTTGGGTTGTTTGACAGAGGGTTTACTGGCACATCCTAGATGAGACCCAGCCTCAGGTGCACCTTGATTCACGCTCAGACCACACACCAAGCGTGAGTTCCGGCTACTCATTTCTTGGATCTGCTTCTCTACTGTTGGCTCTATTTTGGGATGTCACGTAGTTGCGAGGTGCCTGTCAGCAACTCAGAGATTTAAATCCAGTGAAAACGTGCAGATCCTTGTCCCAGTGTTCCCAGGGAACGTCCTGAGAGTCACCAGGACTAGATGGGGTCAGGCTGCCTGCCGACCCTACACCAGTCACTGTGGCCGCGGCAGGTCTGACTCTGACTGAAGGAGCGTCACCCACAAACTGTGGGGGAGCCCACCCAGACTACATTGTTTAAGAGTGGGAGGGGCAGATCCTCAAACAAAAATTAAGGCAATTGTCAGAAAGGGGGAAGGAGTTTGGGCAGGCAAAGGGCAAATGTCCACTGCACACACCATATCGATCCCCCCTTGTACTGGACTCAATATATAGGCATGATGTTATGTTGTATTCCTGGGACTCCATAAAGCTCCCAAACTTGAAGACCACCCGAAGTAGAATCATTCAGTAGGAGGACTATTTATCTACTATTTTATTCTTAGGCCCCCAAAGAACAAGGACTAATACTAGTTACAACTTTTAACTTTTAATTATTTAATAACAAGTAAGAAAGTGAATATTTCCAAATATCCTCGTATTCGATATTAAATATGCATATAGAATTTGAAGTTGCTTTGAAGTTTATCTAAAACTGTGGTGTTTCACCTTTTAGAATCTGACAAAAGCTGTCAACTCTCCAGAAAAACATGGGCCTGCACTCACGAAGGACGACATGTAATTTGGAGATGTAGCAGTTCCATCGGAACACTGATGAAGTCCCACCACTCACCCAAAGCTTGGCTGCCTTCTATGACACCCAAACAAGAAGCTGTCCACTTTAGATCGATCAAGTCACGGCCCAACGTTGGTGCTTCAAACCCGAGACCAGAAGGCTGTCTCAGTCTGCTGCTCACCTCAGGAGCTCCTGCAAGGCTTTGCTTCTCATCCTTCACTTTAAATCTTGGCTTTTGCTTCTCTTCCTTTGTCTTTGGATAAGGATTCTCTCCTGCATGTCTGTTTCTTTTGGATGTATTTGTTTTCCTTTTCTTCTCCTTTGGACGATGTTCTGGGCTTTCTGATTGTGATTCCCATTGAGACGCTGCCTACAGATGTAATTCCTTTGGAGGAGGATGCCAGGTGTCTCACCCCATCCAGCCTGAGGTTCCTCACTCACATATGGGTGATGGGACATGCACTGACTGAGAGCTCGTGGCTGCAGAGGGTGCCAACACTGTCTTGAGGCTGCTCTCTTATTTCCTGCTCATGTTGAACCCAAATCTGTCCTTTTGTAGCTTCTGTCCCATTGTGTTTGTAGCTCCCACCTCTCGGGGCCACATGGAGCAAGCGCCAGACCACAAACTGTGGTGGAGTGGGGACATGTTTACTTAGTCTATGTTCTCCTGGCAGCTTCCCCTCCAGAACTGGGCAGGGGCCCACCCAAGTCGTACCCGAGAGTTCTCCCACCCAGTTCTTTCTGATGAAAGTACTCAAGCCTCTAGGCCAGGAAAAACATTACTCTTTTTAGCTGGTGGGTCTGCATTCCCTTTTGTCTGCTGAAGCCGATGCTTCCAGAATGGGAGCTCGGTTTGAAGATGGTGTCTTAGTTCCTGGTGAGCTACCTGCACGCTGTATTGGTGGGTGGAAGAAACTGGAGCTATAAGCTTATGGGGTCGGTCTGCTCCTCATGAAGAGGCTTCATTTTCACTTTAAAGGGCGGATCAAATAGACTTTTCAGCACACGCTCTTCTCTTTGAAGCCCTGGTTTGTTTCGCAATCAGTAGATAAGTGATGGGCCCTGGGTGCTACCAGCATTATTGCAGCCTCTTGCTCTCTGTTTCCCAGAAACGTTGTCTTGGTGCCAGTGGCAGGAGCTTTCTGAGTGTCTGCAATGTGGTGCTGCTGAGCCACCCTGGCAGGGAAGCGACGGGTAGTGCCTTTTCAAGTGGTCCTCTCACCTGAGCAGGAGAGAGCGCTCAGGCGCAGGCGAGGCCGTGTGCACGGACATCCTTCTCTGTCTGCGCTAAACCCAGGATATCAGCTTGTGGACTGTAATTAACGTGCTTTTGGAGCCCTTTGAGCACAGAAGCAGGATTGACATGGTGCAGACATGGCAGCCCAGAGGCGTGTTATGCTTCGTATGGGAGTCAGTGTCTCTCTAAGAACCACCAGGTGCCAACCTCACAGAGGAGGAGGTCTGAGGCAGGAAGCAACCCCAGGAACTGGAAGTGGAACTAGATGAGGTTCCCTCACTGCAGTCCCCACAGGGAACAGGGGGAAGGGAAGGTGACGCTGCAGGGAGAGAGTCTGGGCAGTGGTGACACCTGGAAAAGGAGTCTGGTGGGGCCACACAGAAACATTAGTACTGAACAGCTGCGAGGGAAAACACAGCACAACACTGACTGACCAAGTACTCTGCAGTCACCTTGTGGGACACGCGAGGCTTACCTAAAACAAGTACCCTGCAGTCACCTTGTGGGACACGCGAGGCTTACCTAAAACAAGTACCCCGCAGTCACCTTGTGGGACATGTGTGGCTTACCTAAAACAAGTACCCCGCAGTTACCTTGTGGGACATGCGAGGCTTACCTAAAACAAGTACCCCGCAGTCACCTTGTGGGACGGGTGAGGCTTACCTAAAACAAGTACCCTGCAGTCACCTTGTGGGACACGCGAGGCTTACCTAAAACAAGTACCCCGCAGTCACCTTGTGGGACATGTGTGGCTTACCTAAAACAAGTACCCCGCAGTCACCTTGTGGGATGGGTGAGGCTTACCTAAACCAAGTACCCCGCAGTCACCTTGTGGGATGGGTGAGGCTTACCTAAACCAAGTACCCTGCAGTCACCTTGTGGGACAGGTCAAGCTTTACCTAAAACAAGTACCCTGCAGTCACTTTGTGAGACATGCAAGGATTACCTAAACCAAGTACTCTGTAGTCACTGTACTGGACAGGTAATGCTCACATAAATGTGGTCAGAATTTTAGTTCAATGCAAGTTATTAATGTTTTTTCAGATCCTAACTACTCTCTGATTTTGCCCCATATAAAAGTAGGACAGATGCTGAAGGAGGTCCCATCAGGGAGATTCCAGCTCAGGCCCTCTCTAAGGTGGCCACCAAGGCGATTTGCAGGGAGGGTAGAGCAGCCCTGGCGGCAGCCTCCTCATAACCAGCTCTTCTCTCGCTCTTAGTGGCTGGGCTCCTGACCCCGCCCACGTCCCAAGGCAATCCCAGACTTAGGATGCAGGTTAGCAGTCTCCAGCACATTCCTTTCTTCTTTCCTTCTGTCCTCTACAAGAACTTAGTGAGCACCTCCTGGGTGTCAGGGATCGCGTTTGGTATTAGTGCTTCAGAGGAGGAACACAGATGCATCTCTGCCGCCACGGGGCTTACGCCTGGGCAAAGGTGAGGAGCAGACAATCACGTACATACAAGTGTAATTTAAGCCTTGATGAGGGTGACGATCGGAAGCTGCCAGACGCTATGTGAGGGTCTAAGGAGAAGGCACGTCTCAGCTTGGGGGCTTAAGGAAAGCCTCTGTTGGGATGCAGCATTTGAGCTGAACTCTGAGGATGGAGAGCAGTCACCAGTCGGGTGAGGGTGGGGAGGAATGTTCTGTGTGGATTCCTTGTGCCTACAAAGGTCTATGAAGGGAAGAAGCCTGGGATGTTTGACCATTTGCAAATAAGACTGCAAGTGGTTGGAACACACAGGGAAGGAGAATAATTCGACTTGAGTCTGCAGAGATAAGCAGGCAGTCACTCCATGCAGGGCCATCCTGAAGACTTTGTTCTCTGTCTTATCAACAATGGGAAGCCATTGGGATGTTTTAAGAACTGGGGAAAGGGCAGCCAAGTGTGGATGTGGTCAGGTTACATTCCAAAAAGAACCTTCTGGCTGCAATACACGAAATGGAAGGAGCTGGGTGAGGCTATGGTTGGTGTAGGGGTGAGATGCTGAGAGGCTGCAGATGTCCAGGGGAGGTGATATCCTGGACTGTAGAGGGAGCAGCCAGTATGGAGAGAAGTGGATAGTTCTGATAGATATTTAGAAGGTAGAATCGGCAGGATTTGGTGATGGACTGGGTATGGTGTGTACGTGTGTGTGTCTGTGGGGGTCGTGGAAAGGTCCAGAATGACTTCCACATCCTTGGCTGGCAGAACTAGACGGGTGTCGGTACCACTCACTGAGAGAGGAAACACGGGTAGAAACAGACTTTGTTGGGAGTGGGAAGTCATGAGTTGTTCTTGGACATGTTGAATTTAAGGGACTTTTGCAATATCTTTTCCTCTTTTAAGATAGGATTTGAAATTAATTCATAGCACAAATGAGAATCTTTGACTCAGTCACAGTATTTGGATGCTGTTGCATCCCTGGCTTGAATGCTCTGTTTCTATTCGGACCTGGGAGGCACTATTTCAGGGCTTTGGGGCCAGCCAGATCTAATTTCCACAGCTGTCTGTGACATGGACAGTTTACATTTAGAAACCTTGGTTTCCTCTCCTACAAAGTGAGAGGCTCATTGAGGTAAAATATGAGTTAATTCCCCAGCCAGAGTCCTGCCTCACTTGTGAGTAATGACTCCTCAGCAGAACAGTCTGGATACCTGGCTTAGGAGAAGCTTTGGGCATTTTTATAAACCCACGGAGGTCAGGGCTGTTAAGGAGAAACGTGCCTGTGGGCTATTTCTCCATCCTTTTCCTCAGTACACGGGACAGATGACTTCCTGCTGCTCAGGTAAATGCCATGCCAGGATGTGGCAGAACCTCTTAATGTGCTCATCCAGCACCTTCTCCAAGACAGACAAGAGTGTAGTGCCACAGGCCCCTGTCGGCCTGTCTTTACTTCAGTTTATCTTTCTCTCAAAGCCTCATCAGAAAAATATCTCCTTTGGTTCCTCCACGCACTTTACCTTCATTTTGTTTTGTCGATTCCAATATTCGTCTTTTCTAATCATTAGTGACAGTGTGTGGGTCACCCAGCTCTATGCTGGCGTGTAGAAGCTACTCAGCACTCCTCAGTTCCCTTCTCAGCAGAAGCCTGAGGTCTTGCATTTACAGCTTTCTCCGAGGACCTAATTGCTCACATCTGAACAGCAGTTAAGTCACCTGCGGAGGCAGAGCTTTCCCCCACATGTGGTCTGACGCGCATGTGAGATGTTTTACAAAGGCTAGAAAACCTTGAACCATGGCAGAGTCTGCTTAGAGCTGGGTTAGCTCTTAGCTTGAACCCAAGCCCCAGCTCCTGCTTGGCCAACTGCTAGGCTTCAGAGAGGTCACTGGATTTCAAGACCTCTCAGGACACAGCAAGCCTGGGTTTGGGGGGAATTTTAATATGCTCCCCTTGGAAGATGGCTTTGGCCACTGTGTATGGAGCAAGGGGTCCAGACCAATCTTTTGCTCTAGATTGTGCACGATTAATACTGAATGTTGAACTCACCTCTGTTCACTCAATAAATGCTGCTGATGCAACAGAAAAATTCTATTTTTGTCAAATTTAGTTGTGTCCATTTATTATTAGTCTGCGGGAAACTTGACGCGGGTGTGTCTTTCTTATTCTTATCAATGGGAAGGTACTAAATTACAAATTGTCGTTTAAATGATGCCAGCTGGATACCTTGTTCACAGCATTTTCATGGTTTCTCGGGTATTAGGCCATGGGCTTTGTTCTTGCTTCTTAGTTTTGGAGAGTAGGGGTCCACTGGGAGATATGAAATAGGTAATTCATATACATTTAGCAAATGATTTACTGAAGATTAGTTTCTGACACTGCTCTTGCCCTTTTCCATTAACGTTAGAAAATACGTTATTCCACAGGAAATTTTGATGTAGTGCTTGTCCTTCCATCTCCGAGCAGATGGGAAGTTTGCTTGTGGTTGTGTGCTCCTCACTAGAGTCCTTTTCAAGAGCGTCTCTGAGGTCCAACGTGGCCTTGTCAGAGGGGACTTGCTCAGTGCTTCCTCAGATCCTTCCCCAGTGGCTGGTCTTGGCACAGCACCATTGCCGACGTATTTCTGGGAGAGGGCTTCCCAAAAAAGTGGCTTCAAAAGTTTTCTTTTTATACCAATCTGAACAGTAGGCTCTACTGATGCGGATGTGATGGGATGTCATTTTATTAAAACTCTCCCCCTAACCTGGCTCTAAAAGGCCTGCTGTTTCTATTGCAGCTAGGTTATTGATGCTAAATAGTTCAGCAAACTGGGTTGTGGAGGCGCATCGGCATGCAGTATTCATTAGGCCGGCCTTTCACGAATCAGAGTCGCCTGCTGCCTCTCCCGGAGTCCCAGGAGCACCCCTGCTCATGGAGGGCGCCTTCTGTGGGAGCCAGGAAATGGAGTCACAGGCACACGCGTCAGGCCCACACTTAGTCACACTGGTGTCCTCAGAATGGAGTGCGTAATGGGGAAAAGGCTTAATTAACGTTCTACAGTAATGTGTCTGTTTATAAAGAAATAATGTACTATAAAATTAAGCAACGTATACTGAATGTACCTCCTAATGGCGAGGCTGGCATTTTAAGTGATCAGTAAATCACCTCAATATTAAGACTTTCTTGAACAAGGGTAATAAAAGGAGACATTTGGAAACCGTAGATACCGGCACCTACAGTCAGCCACGAAATAAAACATTTTTATTGTGATCACCGTGTTAATCACATACGGAGCAGCCCCATCAGGAAACGTGAGAAATTGTATCTGAGTTGTTTCCTTGCTGATACGATTAACTGCACATTAGAATGCGGGTCCCCATACGTAACCCTGCACAGGACTTGCCTCAGAGGACAGCCCTGCCCGAGTCTCCCGAGGCTGAGGACTTATTTGCAGAACCGCTAACGCTGCTTCCTCCCGCTGTTAAACTCATCTTCATCTGGATCAAGCCTGCCGCCTGTGAGTTTTCCCAGCTGTCTGCCCCTGGGCTGTCTTTCCAGGGGGACAGAGGTGGGGGTGGGTGGGTGGGACAGAACTCTATTCTGGGGCCTCTCCTTCCCCATCACGGTGAAGGGGTCTCTACGCTTCGGGCATCTGCAAGCAACATCCGTCCAACTGGTCTTGGCGCCTCCTTCTTTGGAAGGTGATGCCCCATTGCTTATGAGGAAGAAGTCTGAGGGCTGACCTGGAAGGGTGATGTTGCCCAGCTGTCCCCTGGAATTACTTAACCCTCCCTCCATGACCAGCCTCCTTTGATCACGGGGGACACACCCAAGGAAACAGAGGGACCGGGCTCTCCTGTTCCCTCCATGGCATCAGGCTTTCCCACTCAGTGCCCCCTTTCTGGCGCGGTGCAATTTGATCATCAGTGTCCTCTACTTTCAAACAACATGCTCCCAAACCATCATGTATATTTCCCTCCCTCACTAATTATAGTAAAAAAAATTTAAAAAAGAAAGTTAACGAATGGTTACTTTAAGTAGTTATAATTAAACACAAGCAGTCTTTGTGTATTATGTAGGATTAAGAATATTCTCGAAGTGGAACTAGTTTGTAAAGTGTTAAGCTGATAATAATATAGTCAAAATGCTTTAGAAAACATCCATTTATATTTAATCTTTTCCTGGGCTCAGATATGTGAGATAGATTGTCTTTAGAGGGTTTTGTAAAGCAAAATTGTAAATTCCAAGATGTTGTGGTTAATAGGTTGTGGTGTCTGAATCCCAGATCTCTACTGATGAAAATTTGGCAGGTTGGGAAGTGAGATGAGGGGTTAATGAACAAAATCTAATCTAAGAGATGGAAATGCTGCTCCACTTAAATACAGAGAAATTAATGGGCTGGAAAAGGCACAAACAGTTTCCATAATGGCACAGAGTGATTTCCATAACGGAGAGGAGAGCTGGCTGGGGTGTGTATCAGTCAACGATGGCCGCGGCCGAGCCCGGCCAGCGGGAATTGTGAAGCCTTCGGCAGCCCCCACAGGGCCTCGCTTTGGTTCATATTGGAGTTCGAGGACCCTGCAAGGAGGGGCTTTTGATTGATTTAAAGGCCAATAAATGTTTGTTTCTTTAATTCGACAGAACATCAGGTAATCAGGGGCTTTCTCACTGTGCCCTTGAGTAATGAGGACATAACTGCTGTTAGAAGATGGGGATTTAGAGATTTTAATCAATGGAAAAGTTTTCTCTTACAACCAGTTAATTTTCTGCTCTAAATTCTGCTCAAATTTCTATTATAGGTTAACAAAATCTGTAAGAAATATCTCTAGCCGGGATTTAGTTATGAGCCAAGCCTGTTGCTAGGGGCAACCAGGGCAGTGGCAGCTAATTAATTAACCTCTGTCATTGTGTACAGATTAAGCCACTGAGTCCGGCTGGAAGCAGAGGGCCAGGGCGGGAGTGCTTCACTGCTCTTGGCGGTTGGGGACGAGCAGCCTGGCTCCAGCCCTGTTCCTGGTTCCTGCCTTGTCCACTTCTAGTTCCCAATAGGAAGTTAGTAGCTGTGGTTTAGGAGTCTGTGAGGGAGAAGGATGAAGAGGCAGGGTGTGAACTCAGGACCTTGATGGAGAAGAGATGCTCAAAGGGAGTAAAATGAAGGCTCGAGCCTGAAATGAGCTGTCGGTTAGTGCCTCGCAGGTGGTAACAGGGCCCTATTAACCATGTGTGTGGGGTGTCTGAGTGTGCAGGGGTGTGTGTGTGTGTATCAGTGGGGGGCGGTGGGTGAGAGCTGTGAAATTCCTGGATGGCTAAGAGTTCCTTCCAGCTCGGGCAGGAAGAGCACGCAGTGCTGTGGGGTCCAGGAGGTCTGGATTCGCTCAGTCTGGGAACACGGCCCGAGAGACACAGGTGTTCCCTGGCTGCCCTTATTCAGGTGGCCCGTTTAGGTGGTGAGTGGTAGGTAGTGGGTGGCCCCATGCTTGCAGTGCTAATTGTTGCCAGAACAACATCGGAGGGTGGCAGGTGAATTTGCTCCTGACAGGAACAAAGTAGAAACACTGAGGGCTTTGAAGTCTTAACCTAAACCAAGGAATGAGCTAGAGCAGACAGCGACGGCTTGTTTCCAAGTTAAAATGTAGCAAGAATTCATAAGAATTATTAATAACATGATGCCCAGCAGTCCTGGGAGCTGTTGGAAATGGTCTGTATCTTAGGTTCAGATTTGCTTTTTAAAATGTTACTCCAGAGAAGAGGTATTTTTATATTTGAACTTTGTTTTAGTTTTGCTAACAATATCTTGTTTTAACACAAATAACTTCTTGATATTAAAATGTGTTTGCTGTCATTACTGACAAAATACAAGTGATGTATTGCGTCGGCTCCCTACGAGCTGGGAGTCAGGGCCAGCCACGCTCAGGGCAAAGTGGGGGCAGGCAGTTTCAGTTCCTGCAGAATCTGGTCTGGCTTCCTCGACTGGCTGGGGAGGGTTATGAAGTGGCTGGAGGACTAGGAAAGGGGTGAGGGAGGGAAGCAGATTCTGTGTGTGTGTGTATGTATGTGTGTGTCTGTGTATCTCTGTGTGCGTGTTTGTGTATGTGTGTGTACATGTCTGTGTGTGTGTCTGGGTGTGTAGGCGTGTCTCTGAGTGTACGTCTGTGTGTGTGTGCGTGTATCTCTGTATATAGGTGTGTCTGTGTGTGTGTCTCTGTATGTGTGTGTGTGTGTCTGTCTGTATGTTTGTGTGTGTATCTCTGTGTGTGTGTCTCTAGGTGTGTCTGTGTGTGTGCCTCTGTATGTGTGTGTCTGTATGTATGTCTGTGTGTGTGTCTGTGTGTATGTGTATGTCTGTATGTGTGTGTCTCTGTGTGTGTCTGTGTCTATGTCTGTGTGTGTGTCTGTGTGTGTGTATGTGTGTATATGTATGTGTCTGTGTGTATCTGTGTATGTGTGTGTCTGTGTGTGTCTTTGTGTGTGTCTGTGTGTCTATGTGTGTGTCTGTGTCTGTGTGTATGTCTGTGTGTGTGTCCACCAGGAGTAAACTCTGTACAGCAGGGCCCTTGGCTGTCCTGGTTGCTGCCATGACCTTGGTGTCTGGCATTTGTAACACGGTCCTTTACAGCCACCCCCAGAGTCCTGCGTGGTCTCTGCAGCCCTCTGCTTCTGCCTCTCGTTCTTTTTTTTTTTTTTTTTAAAGATTTTATTTTTCTCCTTTTTCTCCCCAAAGCCCCCAGGTACATAGTTGTATATTTCGTTGTGGATCCTTCTAGCTGTGGCATGTGGGACGCTGCCTCAGCGTGGTCTGATGAGCAGTGCCATGTCTGCGCCCAGGATTCGAACCAACGAAACACTGGGCCGCCTGCAGCGGAGCGCGCGAACTTAACCACTCGGCCACAGGGCCAGCCCCTGCCTCTCGTTCTTGTTTCCTGCTGCTCGTTCAGCACCAGCCACGTTTTCCTCTACATTGTTCCTCATACATCGCAAGCCTGCTTTTACCTCAGGGCCTTGGCACTTGCCATTCTTTTAGCCTGGAATGTTTCTCCTGGATTTAGGAATGGCTCTTTTTCCTCCTTCAGGTTTCCGCTCAGATCTTGCCTCATCGGTGGAGCTTCTTTGACCCTCTATTTAAAATAGCCCCTGTGTTCCTCATCTCAGCTCTACTTTTCTCCTTGCCACTCACTGCCTCCAGCATAAACATACACGTGTCTGGCTTGTTGCTGGTGCATCTTTCCCCACTAGAATGGAAGCTCCCCCGGGGAGGGTTTGTCTTTCATGTTCATTGCTGCTCTTCAGGGCCGAGCACAGTGCCTGGGACAGAACAGGCTGCCCCTAACGTTTGTTGAATGAATGATGGAATGATGACTCTCCCATATTGTTTTGATGACTATACTGACACACATTAATAATATAGAAATTGTACTCAATGTTTTTCTACATTGTTCACATGTATAAATTAAAACAGGTGATTTCACTGGGGTTTATTCCACAGACACACTTGACAAGCTTGAATGGTTATTTACAAAATATTACAAAATGGATAATTGCTTTGAGAATAAAGAAAAAGTGATGCAACTTAAAACACAAAGCAGAAGTTCAAAAGTCAAAATGTCACTTCCCATTTTGCTCAGATGGGGTCAGAATCACGAACCACGTGACGCCTG